ATAAGACATTTGTCAATACTACTGAAGTACATTATAGGGCAAAATATAACTGAAAGATTTAAGTGACTTTTTCAGACCTTAATTGTCATACCAGTCAAAATCATCTATAAAACTACCGATATAATGGAAAATAACAAGTGTTGGCATGTTGTGCAGCAATCAGAACCCTTATACATTGCTTGTGAGAATATAAAATATTATAGCCACTGTGGAAAACAGTTTGGTGGTTTCTCAAAAATTACCATATGACCCAGCAATTCTACTCCTAGGTATATATCCAAGAAAACTGAAAACGAGTGTTCCAACTAAAACTTGTACACAAATGTTCACAGCAGCATTATTCATAATAGCCAAAAAGTGGGAACAACCCAAATGTTCATCAACTGTTGAATGGATAAGCAAATGTAGTATATTCACACGATGGAATATTATACAGGCATAAAAAGGACTGGACACATGCTACAATATGGATGAACCTTAAAAACATTATGCTACATGAAAGAAGCCATAAAAATCAGCACATATTGTATGAGTCCATTTACATAAAATGTCCAAAATAGAAAAATCCAGAGACAGAAGATTAGTGGTTGTGAGTGAGTTTGGTGAGGGCTAAAGAGTATGGGGAGTGACTGCTTAATGGGCATGAAGTTTCTTTTTAGGATGATGAAAATGTTCTAGAATTAGATAGTGATAATGATTGCATAACAATGTCAATGCATTAAATGCCACTGAATTGTACATGTTAAAATACATAAAATGGTAAATTTTGTTATGTGAATTTAACTTCAGTTTTAAAACCTAGTCATATAAAATTCTGCCATTAAAATCAACTCGATATTATATCACATTATTACTACAAAAGAATGAATCATCTATTTATTGAACCCAGAGGCATCAAAGTGATACTGACTAATAATAATGTTGCACATTACCACTCATGTTTTATGGTTCCACCCAAGATAGAACATACCAGAGAGCAGGTTATAAACTTTCAGCAGGTTCCTTTTGACCTTGTGGTGGCCATCAGCAACAATATTAACAAACAAAACAGGTGGTAGAAAAAGACATAGGAGATAGTTATAAACCATACCACAAAAAGCTTGAAAGAGAACAAAGAAAGCATGTTCCAATTCATCGATACATCACAAGTGATAACTATGTCAGTCAGCAACTTCTAATACTAGATCATTTCACTGGAGTTATGAACATCCCCTACAGCTTATTCACATTCTTCAACAACGTCTTTATCTCTGTTTTTGTCACTGTGTGGAGCACATTTCCAGTCTATCACGTCTTCATCTTCTGTAGCTCAAGAGGAAATCTGTCCCTAGCACTATGATTGGTTGATGCTTCACATTAACTTTGTATTACACAGAAAAAAGCAAGTCTTAAAATTATGGAATCAAACTTTGCACACACTAAGGGTTATTTTAAAAGCTGACTAGTACCTTCGATACTTGTTTTTTGAGATTTTTAGCCACGCACCTGGCTTTCCACAGAATGGCATTTCCATAAAGAATAATGGACTTCCTCTTTGTATCCTCAGGGTACAAACTTATTACCTGCTCAACTTCCACAATCTCTCATTCACCCGATGAACAATTTCCACACTGGCTGGAATACTTACTGAAACAGATACATCAATTCAATAACTACCACGGCCTCATTTGCATTACAGTTCACAATTACAATTTAATTAAACATTCTAGTTTTTAATGTATCCAAAACCTTACTTTTCATACCAAGAACTAACACTTTCTTAAATCTGTCTTAATCTTTTCTCATTTTCTCTTTTCTTTAATCAGCAGTACTAGCAGTTGGATTTCTTTACAAAACCATTTATAAAAATTTGATTACTCTATAAGACCTAGAGTTTATGCTCTGATGATGCCCTAAGAGACAGACTCTGAGGGGGTAAGTTAGGCTTAACCACCAGGTCAATGCCTCATGCCCACATCCTGCTTCCTAATACCTACTATTCAAATATGAGCCTAAACAAAACTAAAAATTGCCACATGTCATACATTTTTGAGATTAATTACAGTCATCACTGCACATGTGCAGGACATAAGCAAGATGATGAAATAGGAGGTTCCAGCCTTTATACCCCCACAGAAACACCAATTTTGGAAACTACCCATAAATAAGATTACCTTTGTGGGAACCTCAGAGTCCACCTGAAAGGATCCATCACCCCAATGGAACAAAAACTCTGAAAGTATATAATTAAAGAGACTAAGAACAACAGTTTCACTCTGCCCATGTCACCACTCCCCCAGTGCAGCACAGCTCAGGGCTGCAAGGACATCTTGGCTGTGATTTCTCACAGGAGAACGTGAGAGTGAACTGAAAGCTTGGCTTTCCAAGCCTTGGGGAATGGTGCACAGGAGGCATACTCCTGTCTTGACTCACACAGAACACTGAGACTTTTCAGCATGGCCCCCAATCATTTGAGAGCAGCTATGAGCAGAGAGAAGTAGCAGGGGCTCACAGCAACTGGCACATGGATCTCAACAGCTGGCCATGGATCCTGCCAAGCAGCTCATGGATCCCACCAAAAGGCCCACCCATGAACCCCAACAGACAACACACTTGAGTACAGCCCCAATCAGCCAACGCATGCCCCCATCACCAGTGCCCATGTGTCCCAGGGTACAGAGTGCACATGAGTCTCTGAAGACAGAACACAGATCTCAGCAGCAAGTGCAAATCTCAGCGGCTGGCTTGGCTCTGCTGAATTGAGAGAAGGCATACAACCTTGAACACTGCTGGGCACTACCCTAGGCAAAATAAATGGGAGACTCTCGGCATTAGGCCTGGCTTTGCAGGATCAAGGAAAGCACACAATACTAAAGACATTAAGATACTAAGATATCCCACAAAGAGTGAAGAAGAAATATGAAATGGGCAATATGCACAGGAAAAATCTAAGAGCCCTCAGAATCTCAAGCCAACTGACTGGTAAAGGTTTTTCTGTCGAGAAGCCAGTCAATAAAGACCAGAGGAGATAAGTACTTCTTCAAACTTGAAGACAACAATGCAAGATTTCATGTTACACAAAGAATCAAGGAAACACGACACTGCCAAAAGAAAAAAAAATAAAGCTCCAGTGACTGATTCCAAAGAAATGGAGATTTACAAAGTACCTGACAAAGAATCCAAAATAATCATCTTAAAGAAGCTCAGCAAAGTACAAAATCAGGAAACAAATATTTGAACAAAATGAGAAGTTCATCACAGAAACAGAAACCATAAAAAAAAGAACCAAACAGAACTTCTGAAGCTGAAGAATACAATGTCTGAACTGAAAAATTCAATATAGAGCTTCAACAGTAGACTTGATCCACAAAGAATTGGTGAACTTGAAGATGATCATTTAAAATTATACAGTCATAGGAACAAAAAGAAAAAAGAATTTAAAAAAAGCGTGAAGAAATCCTATCGGACTTATGGGATACCATCAACTGAACCAGTATACACACATGGAAATCCCAAAGGAGTAGAGAATGAGAATGGATCAGAAAGTTTATTTGGGGCCAGGTGCAGTGACTCACACCTGTAATCCTAGCACTCTGGGAGGCCAAGGTGGGGGGATCATTTGAGCTCAGGAGTTCGAGACCAGCCTGAGCAGCAAGCGAGACCCTATCTCTACTAAAAATAATAGCTGGGCGTGGTGGCATGTGCCTGTAGTCCCAGCTACTCGGGAGGCTGAGGCAAGAGGATCCTTTGAGCCCAGGAGTCTGAGGTTGCAGTCAGCTATGATGACTCCACTGCACCAAGGTGAGAGAGCGAGATTCTGTCTCAAAAAAAAAGTTTACTTAAAGAAATAAGGAAAACACTTTCCAAATTTAAGTAGGGAAATGAACATCTAGATACATGAAGGCCAAGAGCCTCAGATAGTTTGAATACAACAAGATCTTCACCAAGACACATTATAATCAAGGTGTTAAAAGTCAAAGACAAAGAGAACTCTGATGTAGCAAGTGAAAAGTGACTGGCCAGATACAAGGAAACTCCCATGAGACCCCCATATTTTCCTCAGCAGAAACTGTGCAGACCAGGAGAGTGGGATGATATATTCCAAGTGTTAAAAGAAAAAAGAAAAGTTCTGTCAATCAGGGATACTATACCCAGCAAAGCTGTCTTTCAAAACTGAGGAGAGATAAAGATTCACAGACAAAAACTGAGGGAGTTCATCCTCACATGATGTGTCTGACAAGGAATCCTGACAGGAATTCACAAGGTGAAAGGAAAGAATGCTAACTAGCCATGTGAATACATATGAAAGTATAAAACTCACTGGGATAGAGGTAAGATGTAGTCAAATTCAGAATATTTTAATTCTGTAATGGTGAAGCATAAATCACTTTTAACTCTAGTATAAAGTTAGAAGACAAAGGTATTAAAAATAAGTATAGCTACAATAATTTATTAATGGATATACAACATAAGATGTAAATTGTGATATCAATTCTTAATTATTAAAATGATTAATATTAATATTTACTTTATATTTATATGTATAAATATATAAAGTAAATATAAACAGAACAGTACATAAAATGGGGGAGTAAAAATGTAGAGATTTGTGTACAATCAATGTTAAGTTGTTATCAGCTTAAAATAGACTATCATAACTACAAGATGTTTTATGTAAGCCTCATAGGAATCAAAAAGAAAAAACCTGCAGTAGATACACAAAAGAAAAAGAGGAAGGAATCAAAGCATACTACAACAAGAAAAATCATCAAATAGCAAAGGAAGATAGCAAGAGAGGAAGAAAGGAACTACAAACAGAAAGCAATTGACAAAATGGCAATGTAAGTCCTTATTCAGCAGTAATTACTTTAAATGTAAATGAATTAAATTCTCCAATCAAAAAACAAAAAGTAGAGTCTTGAGCTCTAGCTGGCAGTGAGGCATATGTGCTCCGGGATCTTTTGTACCCATGGCCGCCGTTGACATCGCTTAGTTCCTCTAGGTTTGTCTCTGCCACTTGCCCGATACATACTCCGCTGTATAAGCCGCCATCATGGTGAAGATCGCAAAGGCAGGTAAAAATCAAGGTGACCCCAAGAAAATGGCTCCTCCCCCAAAGGAGGTAGAAGAAGATAGTGAAGATGAGGAAATGTCAGAAGATGAAGATGATGACAGCAGTGAAGAAGAGGTTATCATCCCTCAGAAGAAAGGCAAGAAGGCTACTGTAACCTCAGCAAAGAAGGTGGTGGTTTCTCCAACAAAAAAGGTTGCAGTCGCCACACCTGCAATGAAAGCAGCTGTCACCCCAGGCAAAAAGGCAGGAGCCACACAGGCCAAGAAGACGGTTACACCAGCCAAAGCAGTTGTGACACCTGGCAAAAAGGGAGCCACACCAGGCAAAGCACTGGTAGCAACCACTGGTAAGAAGGGAACTGCCGCCCCAGCCAAGGGAGCAAAGAGTGGCAAAAATGCCAAGGAAGACAGTGATGAAGAGGAGGATGATAGTGAGAAGGATGATGAGGATGAGGAGTATGATGATGATGAAGATGAGGAGGAGGATGAATTTGAACCAGCAGTAATTAAAGCAGCAACTGCTGCCCCTGCCTCAGAGGACGAGGATGATGAGGATGACAAAGAGGATGAGGATGAGGATGATGAAGAAGATGACTCTGAAGAAGAAGCTATGGAGACCACACCAGCCAAAGGAAAGAAAACTGCAAAAGCTGTTCCTGTGAAAGCTAAGAGCATGGCCGAAGATGAAGATGAAGAGGAGGAAGATGAGGATGACGACGATGAGGAAGATGATGAAGAGGAGGAGAAGGAGGATGAAGAGGAGGAGGAGGAGGAACAGGCTGTCAAAGTAGTGTCTGGAAAACGAAAGAAGGAAATGACCAAACAGAAAGCAGCTCCTGAAGCCAATAAACAGAAAGTGGAAGCCACAGAACCAACTACGTCTTTCAATCTCTTTATTGGAAACCTGAACTCTAACAAATCTGCTCCTGAATTAAAAACTGGTATCAGTGATGTTTTTGCTAAAAATGATCTTGTTGTCGTGGATGTCAGAATTGGTATGACTAGAAAATTTGGCTGTGTGGATTTTGAATCTGCTGAAGACCTGGAAAAGGCCTAGAGCTCACTGGTTTGAAAGTCTTTAGCAATGAAATTAAACTAGAGAAACCAAAAGGGAAAGACAGTAAGAAAGATCGAGATGCCAGAACACTTTTAGCCAAAAATCTTTCTTATAAAGTCACTCAGGATGAATTGAAAGAAGTGTTTGAAGATGCTATGGAGATCAGATTAGTCAGCAAGGACGGGAAGAGTAAAGGGATTGCTTATATTGAATTTAAGACAGAAGCTGATGCAGAGAAAACCTTTGAAGAAAAGCAGGGAACAGAGATCGATGGGCGATCCATTTCCCTCTACTACACTGGAGAGAAAGGTCAAAGTCAAGACTGTAGAGGTGGAAAGAATAGCACCTGGAGTGGTGAGTCAAAAACTCTGGTTTTAAGCAACCTCTACTACAGTGCAACAGAAGAAACTCTTCAGGAAGTATTTGAGAAGACAACTTTGATCAAAGTGCCCCAGAACCAAAATGGCAAATCTAAAGGGTATGCATTTATAGAATTTGCTTCATTTGAAGATGCTAAAGAAGCTTTAAATTCCTGTAATAAAAGGGAAATTGAGGGCAGAGCAATCAGGCTGGAGTTGCAAGCACCCCGGGGATCACCTAACGCCAAAGTCAGCCATCCAAAACTCTGTTTGTCAAAGGTCTGTCTGAGGATACCACCGAAGAGACATTGAAGGAGTCGTTCGATGGCTCTATTCGTGCAACGATAGTCACTGATAGGGAAACAGGATCCTCCAAAGGGTTTGGTTTTGTGGACTTCAACAGTGAGCAAGATGCCAAAGCGGCAAAGGAGGCCAAGGAAGATGGTGAAATTGATGGAAACAAAGTTACCCTGGACTGGGCCAAGCCGAAGGGTGAAGGTGGCTTTGGGGGTCGTGGTGGAGGCAAAGGGAGGCTTTGGAGGCCGAGGAGGCTTCCGAGGTGGAAGAGGAGGAGGGGGAGGAGGAGACCACAAGCCACAAGGAAAGAAGACGAAGTTTGAATAGCTTCTTCTGTCCCTATGTCTTTCCCTCTTCCATTTGAAAGAAAGGACTCTGGGGTTTTTACTCTGTTACGTGATCAATGACAGCGCCTTCTGAGGACATTCCAAGACAGTATACAGTCCTGTGGTCTACTTGGAAATCCATACAGATAACATTTCAAGAGCGATACCCTGTTGGTTTTGACTGGATATTCATATAAACATTTTAAAGAGATGAGTGATAGAGCTAACCCTTATCTGTAAGTTTTGAATTTATATTGTTTGATCCCATGTACAAAACCATTTTTTCCTACAAACAGTTTGTTTTGGTTTTTTGTTTTTGTTTTTTGTTTTTTTTTGCGTTGGGGATTATAAAGGAAGGCAGAATGTTTTATCATGGTTTTTGCTTCAGCTTTAGGACAGATTAAAACTCAATTCTGTTGCCAGACTTGTTACTTCCTAAAAAAACAAACAAACAAAAAAAACCAAAAAGTAACTGACTGGATATAAAAACAAGATCCAACTATATGTTATCTACAGAAGACTCATTTTAACTTTAAGAACACAAATAAGCTGAAAGTGAAAGAATGGAAAAGGCATACCATACAAATGGTAACCAAAAGAGAATAGGGATGGTATATTTATATCAGATAAAATAGACTTTAAGTCAAAAATCATCAAGAGACAAAAGAGGTCCGTATATAATGATAAAGGGGTCGATTCATCAAGAGGATATAATACTTGTAAAAATATACATACCAACATTGGAGCAGATAAATACATAAAGTATAATAAATATTAACAGAACTGAAAGGATAAACAGACAACATGACAACAGTAGGGGACTTCAATACCTTACTTTCAACACTGGATGAATCATTTAGACAGAAAATCAATAAGAAAACAGCAGGCTTGCACACATATACAAAACATTCCATCCAAGAGCAACAAAATACACATTCTTCTCAAGTGCACACGGAGTATTCACCATGAGAGATCATATGTTAGGCCACAAAACAAATCTTTACAAATTTAAGGAGGCTGAAATCACATCAAGTATTTCTTTTGGCCACACAAACATGAAACCAGAAATCAATCAGAGGAAGAAAATTGGAAAATTCACAAATGTGGAAAATAACACATTCCATAAAAACTAATGGCACAAAAAAGAAATCAAAAGGAAAACGAAAAAATATCTTGAGAAAAAAATGGAAATATTATATTCCAAAACTTATAGGATATAGCAAAAGCAGTTATAAAAGGAAGTTTTATAGCAATAAATTCTTACATTAAGAAAAACAAAAAATCTCAAGTCTTTACACCTCAGGGAACTAGAAAAACACTAAGAAACAAAGCAAAATGAAGGAAATAATAAAGATGAGAGCAAAAATAAATGAAATAGAGATTAGAAAAGGCCAAGAAAAAACTGAGTTGGTTTTTTGAAAAGATAAACAAATTTGACTAACCTTTAGCTAGACTAATAAAAACAGAAGAGACAAATAAAATTATAAATGAAACAGGACATTACAACTAATACCACAGAAATATAAAGGATCATAAGAGATTACTATTGGCAATTATGTGCCAATGAATTAGATAACCTAGAAGAAATGGATAAATTCCTAGAAACATATAACCTACAAGATTGAATCATGAAGAAACAGAAAACCTGAACAGACCAATTACAAGTAAGGAGATTGAAACAGTAATCAAAAACTTTCCCACAAAGAAAATCCCAGGACTAGATGGCTTCACTGGAGAACTCTACCAAACATTTAAAGAAGAATTAACACCAGTGAGCTGGGCACAGTGGTGCACACATATAGTCTCAGCTATTTGAGAGGCTGAGGTGGAAGGATCTCTTTAGCCCAGGACTTCAAAACAAGCCTGGGCAACAAGCAAGACCCCATCTCTTTAAAAAATAAATGAATAATAAAAAATTTAAGGATTTAAGATGGTGGAAGAGAAAAACCGTCAGCCAGAGCGTCTCTGCAAAAAAGACAGATTTTAGAAGAAAGTGAAAAAAAAATAAACTAGCAGACAAACATAGATTGGACGAGGGGTGGAAGGAAGGGTGCCTGAAACTACAGGAGACCCCATGGGAAGAAGTTGTGGTTGAGAACTGGAAGGAGAAAGGCTTCCGAGAGGCTTGGAGACCAGTGACAAGGGTAGGTGGAGCAGTGAACTTTCCCCTCCCTTACATGTTGGACTGCTGGTGGGCTCCTGAGCGGTTGGAGAGACCTGCCAACACCAGCCCAGAGACGGCTGCTGGCAGTGAGCAGTGAGCCTCTTGCTGACAGGGCACCAGGCTCCCAGCTCCCTCGGGGTACCTCCCTGCGCACAGACCCAAGCCGATCAGTAGGTACCATATTGCTTCATTCTCTCCTTCCCCTTCCCTACCCGTAGGTGCCCAGAGAGACAATGTAGCCATGACACGGAGGCATCTCCAAGGAACGGGACCTTTCCTTTTGGGGCCCTACGGCAGACTGAGGGGTACTCAGACTATGAGTTCCTTACCCGCCAGCCCTCCCAGGTGCTGCTAGCCTGGTGACTCCAGGAGAAGGGGGCAAATCCTGAGGTGGAGTGACATCAATCCAGCTTGGGCACTCCGTGGGTGACTTGAGACCAGCACCCCTCCTCCTGGCAGGGTCAGGGATTGATCTCCAGGGCCCAGGGGACAGGTTTGCAGACCAGACCCCGTACACCCAGGTCTCGATCGCATTGTCCTGGGGCACAGAAGGGATACTTGTGAATGAGCCTACTGAGGTGTGTGTGCCTTCAGGGGCAGATCAGCATGCTTGAGGGGCAACCCTCCTCCCATGGGAAGGCTGTGTACCCAGCCCAGGCTGCGATCCTGGGTAGGGAACCTCCCGGCCCACATCACAGCCAGGGGAGATCCACTGGCTTGAGGTCCTACCTGCTAGAAGAGCCCCAGGAGAAACCGTGGAGTAGTGGAGGGTGGAAAGGAGCAAGGCCTGCTCCAGACTGGAGGTCTCAGACAACCCCGCTCCCACACGCAGACTTTTCGGCTGAGTTAGGCCATTGCAGCCCCTCCTTGGCAGCTTTGCCCAGAAGCAGAGAACAGACCTTTGCCCCTGCTAACACCATTTGTGGAACTTGAGGGCAGGCTTACCCAGCCCAGCTCTGCCGAGACTCACTCCTGGACCTGCCCCCACTGAGGTGGAGAATAAGGACACACCTGGAAGTCCCAGGGCCCCACCTACCACCGGAGGCACTAGAGTGCCTCTCCAGAGGAACAAGAGCTGGTTACAGGCTTATCTTGGTTACAGCTTATCGTGGATAAGCTATTTGAAGATATAATAGAGGAAAATTTCCCAGGCCTTCCGAAAAATCTAGATATACAGGTATAAGAAGCTCAAAGGACCCCTGGGAGATTCAATGCAAACAGGAAGCCACCAAGACATGCAGTCATCAGACTGACCAAAATATCCACTAAAGAGGCCCTTCTATGGGCCGTAAGGCAAAAGAAACAAGTAACATACAAAGGAAAACACATCTGAATAATACCAGACTTCTCAACTGAAACCTTACAAGGAAGAAGAGACTGGGGCCCCATTCTCACTCTCCTGAAACAGAATAATGCCCAGCCTAGACTCCTGTAAACTGCAAAACTAAGTTTTGCATATGAAGGAGAAATAAACACATTCTCAGATAAGCAAAGACTGAGGGAATTCACCAAGACAAGATCAGCCCTACAAGAAGTACTTAAAACAGAGCTACACATGGATCACCATAAGAAACACTCACAAATGTAAAACCACTCAAAAGCTAAAGATCGAACGCCAGATACCATGATGGCTCAAGAGAGAAAACAAAACAACAAAGTTCAACCCAATAGGATGAACAGAGATTTGCCCCACGTTTCAGTTCTCTAAATAAATCTGAATGGCTTGAACTCACCACTCAAGAGACATAGGCTGGCTGAATGGATAAAAAAATACAAGCCAAGTATCTGCTGTCTTCAGGAAACACATCTAACCTGCAAGGATGCATTTAGACTCAAAGTAAAAGGGTGGAAATCAATACTTCAAGCAAATGGAAGCCAAAAGAAGGCTGGTGTGGTGGTTCTGATTTCAGATAATTTAGTTTT